AGTAAGTTCTTCTCCAGCAGCTCCCAATATTACCGCTATTATCACTCCAATCTAACGGCTAAAGCGCTTGTGGGTCATTACTAAAGCCAGAGAGGTTGCTGGAAGAAAGATATCTGCATTAGATTCCTCAGTAGGACGTTCTTTAGAGGTCCTATATGCCTTTGACTTGTAAAAATAACCTACATTTGCATTTCCATCAATAGGCATTAGTTGCCTGCGCAACAGGAGTTTATATTGATGGAGTTTATTCTATTTAGTACGCTGAAACACATTGATCACTTCCAACACAGTTAAATATTCATTTACACTCACTAACCAAGAATTAAATGTTTAGTCACAAATTACGTAGGACAGTTTGGAGGGGAGGGGATAGTTAGTTATAGCCCTAGAAGAAAGTTTTGCCTATTCCTCTACCCCGGACATCAACTAATGCGGTGCAAAATGCCCTTCTCGCCAGGGGTGTTTCACGTATTTCACTCGCCTTAATTCAGCCCGCGTGCAAGTTGCTTCTGTCCGTCTTAGCACCGTACTACTGACTTTAGCCCTGTTTGGCGAACAAGCTGGTATCCAGGATTCCATAACAAGGCTTGTGTCTGTTTCTTGCAGAGTTTACCTGATTTATCCTTCCTGTCAACTTTATGTATTGCTGTATTGCCCTCTAATTCACACCATCACCTTACTGTTGATTCCTCCCCACAGTACGAGTGCACCAACACCATGGAGGACCAGCTGCTTGAGAATGTCTATGTGGAGTTGGAGTCAGAGGATGAAGACTATGAGGTACTGCAAACAATCCCCTGCCCGAACTTGGAGTACAATAAGCCGGGTTCAGTCTACGTCATTGTCGAACTTCCGGAGACGGTCTCCTCCCTCTGCAACTCCTTCACAAATACCCTAAAGTTCATCGTGAAGGATGCCAGTGCCGGTCCTTCGGATCCCGGACTGTCAGATGAGTACTCCGTAAGTCGTTGGTTTGATGTCAAGATGAAAACAAAAAAGTTTCACCTGGCCGGGGAACTGGAGACTCCCAGTTCACACGCTCGGCTTCCAACTATAGTTTGTGTCGTTAACTGTTGCTCTTTACCGACTAGGCGGCTGTTACAGCCACGCAAGACACTGGTGGTAAACAAAAACAACCTCCTTGAGGTTCTGCTCTCCAAATGGCCACGATTGTAAATCTGATTGATAGGCATTTGCCAATAAATTATACACACGTAGACGTACATTTATAGGAGGCGGAAGAACGTTCCCTGGGACCAGTATTTTACTTGCCCGACGTTTCAGCGGACCGTCATTCGAGCCCATTGTCAAGGAATGAAAACGCACAGCTCACGGCGTGATTAAGTCAGCTCTGCCGGGGGTGACCTTGAGTTCGCATTGTTCGCTCCGCCGCGAGTGACCTTGAGCCTTGCCAGTGCCCGCGCTACGCGTGTAGCGGTCTAGTATGAGAGATCTACTACAACCACTACACTAAGAGTAT